ATCTGCCTGCCTCTGCCTCCAGAGCGCTGGCATTAAAGGCGCGTACCACCACTACTTGACTGGTGGTACACACTGTTAGTCCCAGCATTCCGGAGGCAGAGGCAGGTGGATTTCTATGATTTCAAGGCCAGCCTGGTCTACATTGAAAGGTCTAGGACAGCCAGGGCTACATAGTAAAACCTAGTCACAAAACAAACAAACAAACAATCAAAAAACACAGGCAAAATGTGTTATCAGTCCTGGAAGATTTCGACTTTCTTTTTTAACTTTTTATTATTGATTGATTGATTGGTTTTGTGTGTGTGTGTGTGTGTGTGTGTGTGTGTGTGTGTGTGCATGTGTCCCGGTACATGTGTAGTCATAGGACAACTTTGGAGTCAGTTTTTTCCTTCCACCTTTATGTAGGTCCCAAGGATGGGATTCAGGTTGCCAGGCTTGCTTGGCAAGGGCCGTTACCAGATGAGCCATCTCACGGGCCCGCATATCTAGTTTTTCTTAGTAACAAATTTAAATGGATTAAGTTTCTAATTTGTTAAAATCCTATCATGAAAGGTACTTAGAAATGACGTTGTCAAAACCATCCACCCCCCCTCCGGCGTCTCGGCTTTCACTCTGTATCCGCCTTTCACTTTGGGTGAGATTTTTGGCCGACTTTGCACAGGCATGTTAAGCCCTCCAGGACTGTCTACTGATTTAGCTCATCTCCTTAATCTGGAGGCACGGAGATAACCGGAGGTTCCAAACCTGCCGTTATCTTGGGTACTGCCAGCCTCACTGGATCATTCCTAGCTGAGGGCAGCCACCCATGAGGGCGAGGCTGTACCCCGGCCCATGAGTCATCATCTCCTGAGAACTGGCCTGTCCCCCCAGGCAATAGGGATTTCTTTGGATCAACTTGAAGAATTAGAGTTGAGAGAACGACCAACTAGATCACACACCTTGAATTAGACTGCAGGGGTTGAGTTCAGGTCGGCAGGCTTGGTGACAAGTACCTTTACCTACTAAGTTATTTTACCAGCTCTCTTTTTTCCTTCCTCCCCTCTAACCCTGGCCTTTCATTCTTTCTATTCAGGGTTTCTGTTATGGCTAGCTTTATGTTAACTTGACACAAGGTAGATTCATCTGAGAGAAAGGAACCTCATTTGAGAAAATGCCTCCATAAGAGGCAGTTGTAGGCAATCCTGTAAAACATTTTCTTAATGAGTGATTGATGGGCGAAGACTCAGCCCATTGTAGGTGGTGCCACCCCTGGGCTGGTGGTCCTGAGTTCTATAAGTAAGCAGGCTGAGCAAGCCACGAGGAGCAAGTCAGTAAGCAGCACCCCTCCATGGCCTCTGCATCAGCTCCTGCTTCCGGGTTCCTGCCCTGTTGTTTGAGTTCCTGTCCTGACTTCCTTCAATGATGAACAATAACGAGGAAGTGTAAGCCAAATAAACCCTTTCCTCCCAAAGTTGCTTTGCTCATGGTGTTTCATCACACAATAGTAACCATAACTAAGACAACTTCATGCATGCAGCCTGGGATAGCCTCAAGCTCTTTATATAGCCAAAGATAGATCTTGAACTTCTGATCTTGCTTCTACGCCTGAAGTGCTGTGATTATAGTTGTGTGCCACCAAGTTGGTGCTGGGGGGTCAAACTCAGAGATCAACGCAGCAGGCTAAGCAAACATTGTATCTGAGCTACATTGTTCATAGAGCCATAGCCCTGTTGTTGCTTTGTTTTGTTTTGAAACAAGGTTTCATTTTGTAGCCCAGGCTGGCCTTGAACTTGAGACTTTCTTGCCTCTGCCTCCCTAGTGCTGGCATTACAAGTTGTGTGCCCACATCTGTAAGGAATGACTCTCTCTTGCCTTGTAACCTTGCCTGGGGAAGAGACATTGGTGATATCCTGTGTACCAGAGGCTCCTGTTCTAGATACAGGCTCCAGGTGACCACTGATGTGTTACAGAATGCTAAGTCACTTAGCATGAGTGGGTTTGAACATCCTAGACAAGACAAGTGGTTTTTTGAGGTCCAGGTCTCTGGCCTCCCTGACCTGGGTTGGTCTGATTAGGCTCTCTGAGGATGAAGAACAAAAGCATCCCCACGATTCTATCCCTGCACCCTTCACGGCCAAGTTGGAGGCAGGTCCTGGACTCAAGTGCACACTAATGATTGTTTTGGAAGTTTCCTCTCACAGATGTCAGCCCCCACTTCCCAGACCTGTCTTGTGGAGGCTGAGTCATGGGTCAATGATGACGGTGGGCATGTTGTGGGGCCAGCCAAGCCTATCGATTGAGGGCTGGCACATCCTCCCCACTAATCAACAGTTAATTAAGTCTTTGGTGAGGAGGTGGTGATTAATGAATTGTCAGTTTGTCCTGTAATTGGGATGTGGAATGGGAGGGAGTACCAAAGATCCACAGAGGGGGTTTTGTGAGTGGGGGAGGCTGGCTCCTGGTCCACACCGAGGGACCCCTTCGGGTTCGGTTTGCTTTCATATACCAAACCCGGGCCTTCCCTTATACTTCCCTTTCTCCTCTTTGCCATCTTTCCTTGAACCTTGTCTTCCCTAAGGCTGTTGGGGGGACAGTGTCCAGGCTTGATGAATCCTCCGTGTTCTTCTCACAGACTCCTTTATCTCTGTCTGGGGTCAGTGCCCTCGCCACCATAGGCACTTCAGGGGCCTCCGAACAAATGTTCATCACCGTATCCTTGTCTCTTGCAGCCTGTACCATCCTTGTCTGTTGATCCTTATCTCTAGGATCAGAACTGTCCTAACTAGGGCCCAGGTTGCCCCATCCTCTGTATTTTTGTCCCATGGTCTTTGGTTTTCCCTTAAGGAGTAGCGTTCTCTCACTTCTGTCATTTCCTTCCCCAAGAGGACACTGGCTGGCATCTCTCTGGATCTGTTCTAAGACAGTGAAGGGTCCCCAAGGAGATGGCTATAACTCTTCTCTGAGATGAAGGCCCCTGTAGGACCCTCCGATACAGGCTCCCTCCTTTCTCCAAGGCTGGGGGACATGTCCCTTTGGTCCGGTGTCCTCTTCCACCACCGTGCTCAGCAAGATGTCCTGGTGTTTCTTCTGTTGCGTGGGGCCCACAGGACCTGGGCTGGTTGATAAGGATCTTTTTCCGGAGAGTGCAGGTGACTGAGCCCATAAAAAGGTGATTGAAGGAGCCCTGGATGCTCCATCTCAGGTGAGTTCTAAAAATAGCATTCATTGCCATCTGTCCTGATACTGGAAGGACTGGCCCAGAACTCGGGGTCTGGGTAAGATGGTTCTTCCTGTTTCCCTGGGTTGGAGGTAGTGGAGGCTCTGGCAGGGCTGCGAGAAGGCACTGGAAAGGCCTTACAGAACACTTCCCCCATGGTCCTCTTCTTGATGAAGGAGGTGGGTCAGATGGGGTTGGTGGTTTGGGCTCTTTTTCCTACTCAACCACTCAGAGTATGTTGTGGTCCAAAGCTTAGCATATGCCAATCCCTGCTTCTGTATGTAGCTCCTGAGCTTCGAGGTGCTGAGACTACCCACTGTCAGCGCCGAGAAAGCTGTTCTCTGGGTCTGTCCACTCTCTTCCTCTGTTTGAGCCACAGGTGACCCTTCAGGGGTTCAGCTTTCTCACCTGTAGCATGGGGACACTCTAAATATTATGCAGGAATCGATGTGTTATGCAGTGCAAACTAAATGCTTAGTAACCATGGGTGGTTGCCCCTCTTCTGCGGATGCAGGCCACCGTCCCTCATCAGCCCCAGAGTCCAGTGATGACTGTAATGGGGTTAAACAGTGGCATCTACCTGGTCACCTTGGCATCACTCAGCCATAGAGGACATCTGCATCCTGAAGGTCTCCTGGTTGGGGATGGGATTCTGCCTTGAGACGACATTCTATGCTAGGTGTGCATAGCTGGTCCTGGGTCTGTCTGGTCCAGGCTGGAATACACATGTAGCTGATGCCGCTGCTTCTTTTCAGCTCCCCATCTCTCTTTCAATGGAAAAAGAATACAACGGAAAGTCTGTGCAGTGAGACCTCATCCCCTGGACATCATAATCAGGTCGGGAGGCAAGGTCACATGCTGTCACTCCTGCCTTCAGCAGAAAATGACCTCCCCTACATGTCCTGTCAGTCCTGGGTTGTTGTCAAACAGAAGCACTCAGGAGTGCTGAAGGAGCTGACACGGGTCCCACAGGCTGAGGGAACAGTGTTCCCCCTTCTCCATCTCCTTCTAAGAAAAGGCTAAGGAAGATGAACTCTCATTCCTGATTTTGCCCAATTTTCACTTCCTGGTGGCAGCTGTGGGGTGAACACGAGATTCAGCAAGGCACCCCTCCAGAAGGACCCCCAAGTCGTAGGACTAGGCTGCCCCCTCAGTTCCTGCGATGTGGAGAGACATCACGTCCTGGCTGGGTGTAAAGTCAGCGACTGGCAGGGGTGGAGGGAGGAGACAAGTCCTCCCCTGGTGGATCCCCTCCCCGGGAGTCCCCCCTCCCTTTCCAAGTGGGATATAAGCCCCGCAGGGAAGCTCTGAGCAGAGGCCAGAGGCCACAGCGTTGTGTAGCTGTCTAGCTCTCCAGCCTCCCCAGCCTTTCACCTCTTCTTGCTCATCCCGCTTCAGGAGCTGTCGCTGTGAGTGGCCGGGGCCCTGGAATGGTCTGGTATCGTGTTATTTTGTAGGGAAACCGAGGTCGGGTCAGTGGAAGCTATATGGGTACGGTCTAGCTGCGGAGAAGTAGAGAAGCTGGGGAACCCGGGTGTCACATTGTTTTCTTCCCTTATCTACCTCTTTGGGTACTAGCGGGAGTTGGGAGGCAGGCAGGGCTTATGGTAGTCTGATAGATGGGGAAACTGAGGTCAGAGATGCTGCAGTGTGGGAGAAGATGAGGCGAGTCTGGTGACTGAGACAAACAGGTCTTTGAGACGTGGACCCGACGGCAGGCAGCTGCAGCCTCCCTTGTGGAAGGGCCGAGGCTCAGGATGGCCCACCCGCCAATGCTCCCTTCCCGCCAATGCTCCCTTCCTAGATGGTGGCGGTGCTTAGGCCTTGGTCCGTCATGGTCGCAGTGCTGCTAGTTCTGCTCGCCTGCCTGGGAGCGCTGGTGGACGCCTATCCCATCAAACCCGAGGCTCCGGGGGAAGACGCCTCCCCGGAGGAGCTGAGCCGCTACTACGCCTCCCTGCGCCACTACCTCAACCTGGTCACCCGACAGCGGTGAGCTCTGGAGAGGGCGGGGAGGGAAGGACCCCCGCCCCCCGGGTTGCACCCTCCTCTCACACTCCTCCCAGCTCCATCTGGAGGTCTGACCACGCCCCTTTGTGGTCCCGCCCCCTCAGGTATGGGAAAAGAGACGTCCCGGAAGCTCTATTCTCCAAACTGCTCTTCACCGACGTTGGCGAGAACCTCCCCGACCGGTCTCGGTAAAAAACACCGCTCCTTCACAACTCTTGGAGAGTGCCCTGGCTCCACCACTCACACCTCCCATTCATTTCACTTCTTTTCCCTCCTGCAGGTCAGAAGGTGCCTACCAATGGTGAAAACCCCAAGTCCTCCTTCGAGATGTGCTAACTATACCGATTTCATTTGCATATTTGGTTCGAAGAGGGGACTCCATATCTTGGTGCCCCGGGTGCCCAGGCTTGAAGGCTGTGTTCATTGCCCTGTCCCCAAATAAAAAGCAAATGTCACATAAAATACGCGTGTGTGTTTATATTTCTGTCCCTTTCGCTTTTGCGGAGGTGGCGGCTCAAGCTGCAGGAAACACTGGTGGCTAAGAAAAAAGTTGACGGGCTGGAAGAGTTCAACATAGACACTTCCTTCTAGTCCGGGGTTCCCAAAGGACCTGGGAAAGCACTCTGGGGGAAGGGAACCTGGGAGGGTGGGTGGAGTGGATTCTGAACAGGGGCCAGAACAGATCAGGTAGGAGGGAGGCGGTTGAAGGCGGGCTGGGAGAGTGGCAAGGGGAAGTCGAGATGTCACTCTCAGGGAGTTCCCCTGAGCTGCCCTGTGTTAGTCCCAAGGACGTGGAGGGCAGGAGGACAGGGACTAGGGTGAGGCCCTGGAGGAAGAGACCCAAAGAGGCAGTGAGTGAGGAGGTAGATAAGTCACTTCCTTGGTCCTTGAACAGGGGGAGCAACTGGACTCTGGAGGTCTCCTTTCTCTCAGCAACAGCTGGAATTCCCCATATTGTCGAACGCAGGCTCGATGTCTATCACTAACTGCTTTTCTGGTGAAAAGGCCATGGGAATGCCCCAATTCTTCTCTTTCCCCTTTAATCACTGGGGTCTAAAGTGTTGTGGGTATTTAAGCTGTAGTCTAACCTGAGCCCTGGATATCTCGTATCCCATTAATTGGCCCATTAATTAGACCCTTTTGCTTTCTCTGGAAGCCAGCTCTCTCTCTCTCTCTCTCTCTCTCTCTCTCTCTCTCTCTCTCTCTCCTGCTCACTATAAAACGTGTCCTTCTCTTTGTGTCCAGTGTTCCTAGGTCTTGGGGGGTGGGATTGGGAATGGTTCTGGTGACATATGTACCTATCCTGGGGAGGGGACTGGGGAATGATGGGGAGGGGACATATGGAAGCCAAGGTTACAGATCCAGAGAAAAGGTGTCAGTCAGGAAGGCTGAGCGGTATCACTGTGTGGATGGGGAAGCATGCAGGACAGCCTGGTGGCCCTGGAAGGAGAGTGAGTGACCTCTGCCATAAAACAATTCCTGCATAGGGGATGATGGGGGTCCCACACCCATCTTCTGGGGCTGCCCTTCAGCCCCACACGGCCCAAAGTGAGAGGAGGAAGAAGCGGCCCCGGGGTTCAACTGCATGGATTCTGATCTCAGCAGGCCATGCTCACACTGCCTCTTCTTCCTCTCCCACCTGGAAAGCCCCTCTTTCATCATGGTCACCTCCGAGAGCCATTCCTGACTCCTCTTGCTGGAATTAGTCCCGCTGCATCTCTCCCTCCAGTATGGCCATTACCTGAGACTCCTTCTACCCAGTGTGTTCCCTGCGTCCCTCCACTGCTCCAGGCTTGCAGTGACTAGCTGTGTGTCTGGATGCTGGTGTCTGTGGTCCCGGTCTGCTGGTCTGCTCAGGGAAGCTGGGGTCAGTTTGCAGCTCACAGAGGAGAGACCTGGCATGAATCATATGGATGGCCACAGACAGTCTGTGTAAAGGTGACACGTCCAGGCGACGGTCAGTGAGGTGGCTTTCCTTCTGGTTCACCCCGAGGAGTTTTGAGCAGGTGTCTAATTTGGGACTGATCAATTTAATCAACTAGGAGCCAGGAGGAAGCTTAGACATAACAATCGCAACAAGGACAGTAACAATAATCATCGTTGCAGAAAGCTCTTTTTAAAAATTATATTGATTTTTATTGTGTGTGTTGTACTTGTCGCAGCTTGTGGAGATGCAAGGACAACTTTGGGTAGTCGGTCCTCTCCTTCAACCTTTACGAGGGCTCTAGGGGGTCAAACTCAGGCTGTCAATCTTGCATGTTTGGGCAGCAAGCCTCACACATCGGTTTTGTTTGGAGACAGAATCTCTCTGGGTGGTCCTGGATGTCCTGGAATTCACTGGGTAGACCAGGCTGCCCTGGAATCATCAGAGATCCAGCTGCCTCTGCCTTCTGAGTGCTGTGATTAAAGACGTGCGCCGTCATGTCTAGCTCCAACAGACATTTTTATGTGATGGATTGTTAGCTATATGCTTTACACACAACATAGTAGTACCATATTGATTCTGTTGTGTATATGTGCGTGTGTGCGTGCACGTGTGTGCACACGCGTGCACCACGGTCCTTGTGTGCAGGGGTTGTTCCTTCCTTCTGCAATGGTTTTTGGGGATGGAACCCAAATTCTGTTGAACCTTCTTGTCAGCCCAAAGTGACACCCATCAAGTCCCCTTTTGAGGAACGATCTGGAATATGGTCAGTCCTAGATAAGGGATATATATTCCTATACCATAACCTGCTTCTTCCCAATCTCTGTGACCTCATCTTAAAAAGATAAATAATTAAAGGTTGCCTGGGCCTCCTTCTTCACCTATGAGATCTTTGTAGACCCCCTTTTCCTCGTTCCCCTAAGAGCATATCATATGTACAAGTTGAGCATGATGACACATTTGGGATGCTGAGGCAGGAGGATCACAGTTTTCAAGACCAAGTTACATAGTGAGATGTCCCTCAAAAATAGATAGATCAGTTGGTGAAGTACTCAACGCACTGTGTAAGGGACCCAGGCCAACCACAGTCTCACGGCAGCCATAGAGTGGCGCAGGAGTATGATCCCAGCCTAACCGCCGTGGAGATGGGTGGACCCCTGGAGCCCGCTGGCCAGTCAATTTGGCCTGTGAGTCCCGGGCTTCAGTGGGGGACCCTGGCTCACTGAGTGATTGGTGGATGGTGGATGGTGTTTGAAGAACAACATTTGAGGTGTGCACATGCACATACACTCACATATACACAAGCCCTCACACACACCTGCACATCCACACACCCACCCCTATCCACATGTACCCATCCCCCCACACTACAAAACAAAATGAAACAAAACCGTGTGCCGCAAATGACTCCTGCTTGCCCTGTTCACTGTAAGAGAGCCAGGAAAGGGTGTGATGGAGGATAGGACCCTGGTCAAACTCCTGTCCTGGAGGATGTACGTGGAGCCTCTGCACTTTGCTCCTCGGTCTTCTTCATTCGCTCCCATGTTTCTGGGCTGTTCCTCTCCTGATCTCATTATCACAGTGCCCAGTAGTCATCTTCCCAGTCCAGAGAACATGTGGCTAGCAGAGGACATAGCATCTCTGTCAGTCTAGTCTGTCTGCTGGGAAGGACATGTACCTTCCCGGAGGCTCCATGCAAGCCTTGCAGGAACCCATAAAGGCCAGCAGGAGCTATCTGTGTGTTCTAGATGGGGACATAGTTTTTAGAAGGCACTACCTCCTCCTCCAGGACTGTCACCGCCTGCAAGGACCTTGGTATCTGTTGTTGCAAAAATCTAAAGCCTCAGGTTTGGTTGACATTTGAGGAGCAGCTCTGACTTCTTGGGACCAGACAAAGCTGGCTGACTTGCGTGACAAACTGTAAATAGTTCCTGCACTAGAACCAGCCCCTGAATTCAGTCTGTTTGGTGAGGGTCCTTCACCTTGAATAGAGGCCTGAACAGATCCCGTGAGGCTCGGAGACCATGAAAACACAGACCCTTAAAACCGGTGACAGAGCCAGACGCCCCCTGGTGGCAGCTGTAGTCACTCCCAGACAGTGCGGGGCCTCGAATTGGGATTTGCCACTGGTTTTGCATAGCGGGGGGGGGAAAGTAAGCCCAGAGAAAGGTCCAGGCTTGTGAAGAAATAAACTCCGCTTACTTTGTGGAATGTCAGCTATCTGTCGAGCCGTTCGTGTTCTTTTTGTTACAATACATGAAAGCTGAGAGGAACAGGCTTCTTGATTCTCGCTGTCTGGGGGATGGGCACAGTGATCCTCACTTTCCAGACCACATAGGGACAACACAGAGGGACGCGGCAGGGGCAGGAATTGGGGTCAAGCCTATCTGACCTCTAACCTCACTGCCCCTGGTTGTCACCTTCTCTCCTCCAATCACTTCCTGCATTTCCAGGACCCACCCACTCCGATGCCTCTTGACCTGAGCAGGGGAGCAGTCTTGACTGGGGAAAGGACACCAAACATGAAGAAGACAGTGGTGTTCACCAGGGGATGCTCTCAGGAGGAATTGAAGGCTGACTGTGAGAATTGGGGGTGAGTCTCAGACAAGGGTTCCCACCTTTGTGAGCCTCCCACCCCTTAGTGAGAAAGCAGGAAGTAAAATCAATGCTTTGAGAGTTCCAGTTCAAGGTTGTTAGATCTTGTTCCAAAGCTCAGCTGTCCCAACCATGAGCTATGCAGTCTGAGCCTAGGTACCCGAGGTCTCTGGGCAGGGCAGAGTGCGCCTTCCTTCCTTCCTTCCTTCCTTCCTTCCTTCCTTCCTCCCTCCCTCCCTCCCTCCCTCCCTCCTTCTCTCCCTCCCTTCCTTCCCTTCTTTCCTTCCTTCATTTCTTCTCCTTTTTTTTTCTTGTTTGCCAAGTAGGGCCTGGCAGGGGTTTAGTGGGATGACAATGTGTGTTTTTTTTTTTTTTTGACAACTTGAATCTTACAAGTGTTGCTGGTTTTTAGCCCTTCCCTGGGACAGAGCTCTGGGATGGGCCAGGAAACAGCTACCAGAAATTGCCCCTTCCCCATGAACCCTGTGTTTCCTGAACTGTGGCCCACCAGATCTTGGTTGGCATCCTATGCAGGCACCAGATAGATCTCTCCACTCCTTTCACAGTGACTTGAGGACCTGAGACTTCGCTGTCCCCTCCTTATTCTAGCTGTCCACTGGGAGGGAAGGCCTGACTTCCATTTTTCGTGCTGGGGATGGAGCTTGGAGCTGCAGCCTCAATCTGTGCCCTGAGAAAATGCTCTTGGTGACCGGGGTTGTCCCTGGGGAGGTTGGACGCAGGCCAACAACTAGAACCTTTGGGTTACCATGTCAGGTCTTTGTCCTTTAGGAATCAAACCTGTTCTTGTGCCCAAAGCTTGATACAGACCCCACAGGAGATCTGCGCCTTGGTCCTGTTTCATTCACCCTGTGCTGCTCTGACACCAAGAATACTGCCCCGGCACCTTCCTCTTTCTGGCCGCAATGCCCGTGTTGCAGGTACCAGGGAGACAGCGCAATTGGGTTGAAGGCTGGCAGTGAGAAAGACTGACAGGAGGCGGGGACTCTGGGGGTGCCGAGGACTATAAAGGGGAACAGCCATGTGCAGGGAGACCAGTGCAGAAGGAGGTAGGTGTCTGTGTGGTCCAGCACCCCCTTGCTCACACAAGGTAAGTGGGCTCACCCTGCCCTGCCTCTGGGGACCTCTTGGGTTGATGCTGGGATCGGCGGGTAGGAATTGGTGCTTTGTAGGACTGGGGTTCTCAAGAGGCCTAAGGTCCTTTCTGGGTCTCTCTCTACATCTGTATGAATGTGTTTGTGGAAGGCTGGACCCGCAGTGTCAGAGACTTCGGTTCCTTTACTTTACGAGTGAATTCTGCGTCCTTTGCCCTGTGTTTCCCACCAGCCTTGGTCATTCCTGCATCCTCAGAAGCATCAATGTCATAAGTCCTGTGTATCCAGTTCTCATACCCACTTTCTCTGCTATGCCTTCTATGTTTCCTCGGCCCAGGGCTAACCTTTGGCTGCTGACCTGATCATTGAGGGTGTGTGTTTGTGTAGATGTCCTTGCTTTCCAGGGGAGGAAGGTGGTGGATGCTGGTGGCTCCTTCGTCTGCCTTGTCCCCAGGCTTGGCTTGGAAAATGTGTGGTGGGCAGTGGTTGGCCAGGTAGGTCTGGGACACAGCAGAATCTGCAGATGAATCTGCCTCCACTTTGTTCCTTATTCCTCAGATGGCCACCGCATACTGCTGCCTCTCCCTGTTTCTCCTATCCACTTGGGTGGTTCTGCTGCTGCAGCCCCTGCAGGGTGCCTGGGGAGCCCCATTGGAGCCAGTGTACCCAGGGGACTATGCTACACCAGAGCAGATGGCCCAATATGCAACTCAGCTCCGCAGATACATCAATACGCAAACCAGGCCTAGGTAGGGTGTGTGTGTGTGTGTGTGTGTGTGTGTGTGTGTGTGTGTGAGGG